CGGGGGGGGGGGGGGGGGGAGAACACATGTTTCCGGCTCTGTCGAAGCGCGCCCATAGTTTTCGACCGAAAATCCCAATATGCACTTTTGTTTCGTACCACCCAATCCGATAGACGTTCCCCCTTAATTCACACGATTAAATTTTACTTTCCAACTACTTTATGAATTATGCTAGGTAATAAATGCTGAGCTCTACTCTGTCTCTCTCTCTCTCTCTCTCTCTCTCTCTCTCTCTCTCTACTTTTTCATTTTTTTGGCTTTTACTTTAAATAATTCGAAAATATTTTAAATGAGGAATTATGAGATTTTTCACGAACTAGCATCGTGTGCGTTAGACCAATGTAAGCTAATATGTGGATTAGATCACGTGAGAGTTGTACTCGGCGTTAGCACAATTCTTTTGTCGCAACCTTATTAATCGTTAAAGACTTAATTTTTTTTTTTTTTTCTTACACGTGCGACTTAATATTGCGTGCAGTTGCTAGTATCCTACTTTTGCGCTCGGTAGGTATGCTGAAATATTCGTTCCACTCGTATTCTTGCTTTGTTATATTTCCCTAAAATACGATAATTGCGCGTAATATGTCAACAACTGATTGCGATTACTGAGAATTTCTCGGCATCGTTCGTTGCACGTAGCCGAAAATACAGCCACCCTTACCAAGAACCTCTACGCCAATGTACTTGCTACCATGTAATACATTACAGGAATACAAGAAACGTCATTTTCTCGTTCTTGTTAAAATACTAATAATGCGCATTTCATACCTCGGTACCTCGATGCAGTGTACACTACCATTTAAATTTATTATCGCTTGCGTGAAACTACGTAATTCTTTCGCTTGAAAAAGAAAAATATATATATGCGCGCGCGTGTATGTGTGTATTTATATTCATATACACATACGCATTTTGATATATGAATAATAATAATCATATAACCCTCGCGTGCGCGTGACGCTCCGCGAAAGGAAAAACGAGTGTACATAAAGGACGAGCGATTGATTGATCGAAGCGTCAAGAGAGAAGAACATTATATTATCACCGATTTTCCAGTACTTGCGCGTTATGGACTCGGATGTGTACTGTCGGTTTGAAAACACTTGTATCGTGCAAATAACGTTGTGTAAACATCTGGCTGAACGTTCCAACAAAATATGAAAAAATCCCTCTCCCACGGCGTTGATAATCATTGAACGTAAACAGCCTCGAATCTCAAGGTTAGATTCAAAGAAGAATAACGAGAAGGAAAGAAAAAAAAAGAACGATCGTTTACCTGATCACCAAAATTTTGCCACCGACAGGCACGCTACCATTTATCCAAGGTAGGCCATTATCACTATTGACATAAAGGATAAGCCAGACTTTAGGATTTTATGGGCACATCGGGTGCGCAGAGCTCCGCCTCGACAATTTATTATAATCCAATAATCCCTTGATTAAATCCTGAAAGACTCGACAGGCGGTGATGGTGATGGTGATGGTGATGGCGATGTCGGTGGTTGTGTAGCAGAAGTAAATAAACGGAAGGAGGATCGAGCGCTACAAGAGCACTGGACAAATCGAACGAGCTGGACGCGCGCGACAACCGGGGCTGCGGGCCTTCTCGGTAGGGCTTTTACTAGCCGAGGGCCGGCCGTTTGCCGTCATCCCCGGCTGGGAGGCTCGCGCACTTGTTGCACACACGCGTCGGGGGATCAATCACAGGAGCCGATACTCGCCGGCGAAGCGTCGATCGCTCCGGAAGAACTCGCAGAGCAGCGGCAGCTGGCGATGGCGGCAGGTGAGCGCAGCCAGGAGCCGCCTCCACCAGGTGGATGGGCTCGGAATCGTGTCGGCAGCGGCAGCACCGCGAAACAACCGAGAAAGCTCGCGAGCGGACGGCGACTGAGGTGAGCGCAAGCGCCGCCGCCGTTCGCTGATCTTCTCCCTCCTTCTCCTCCTCCTCCTCCTCCTCCTCCTCCTCCTCCTCCTCCAGCGACCCCTCACGCCCCTTCGCCGTTACATCTTGGCAGTCTGCCGCAACGGCGCACGCGCGAGGCGTCGCTGAGTCACGCCCGAGTGGGGGAAGTCCGATGCCTGCGCGCATAACGAGGAAAGCACGTCAACACCGTCAGCAGAGCCGATTCCCAGGTGAAAATGCAGGCGAGCGCGCGCCCATATCTATCGTTAAAAAAGACAAATAATGTACGATTGTACTTGATCTTGTTGTTGATATTGTCGTTACTGTTGTCGTCCCTCTCTCCCTCCCGCCATCCCTTACCCGCCGCCAAACCCCCACCCCGTTCTCTCTCGCCTTCCATCGCCGTGTGACGTAAGAATCGGTATAAAGTTTACCGCTAATGCATCCGGGTTCATGAACGCACCCGAGGCATGCATACCTCGGTTGACAGCCTGATTTATATCCTTTATTTAGTCTATCATTGCCAAGCAATTGGCGTGGCGCGTTAGTTTATTATTTTATCAAAAAGGTCCGATTTTTATTTTACAAGGCACAAAAGCGCCAATTTCAATTCTCAAGCTATAATATTGGATTACCGACCGATCGCCTGCTTGATGTCATTCAACGTACGGAGAAGCTTCTGAACTGCTTAAAACATCGTTAAAAGAGACATAAAGTCTTATAAAATATACGAGTACATTAAAATTTAATTCAATTTTACTTGAGCAGCATTATGCGCTAGACAATTATTGATAATCTTTAAATGAAATTTTCTGAAAATAACACCTAATAAGTATCTGCATCCATGGCAAACAATACGTTAGAATTTACGTAAAATTGAATATTTACATTTCAATATCCTTTGTACGTGTGCAAAAATTTTAGCAAACTGTTTGCCGAATCAATACACATGAAAAATACATTTTTTATTCCTCTTAGGATTTATCCTACGATAGCCGTACACGAACGAATCTACATTTTCTAGGCAAACATAAGAAAGGAAATAAAATGGGAAATAATGATTAATACACGCTAATTGAATTTAATTGAAAATCTATACACTCGCTAGTTTTTTGTGTACGACTATCATACGTGCGATGATGATCAATTTTTAAATGCTCATTTTTAATTTCGTAACCATATTCCTCGTGTTTATAAAAAGTTACTGAGCTGCGTAAGCTCAACTTAAATAATGAGAAAAATATAAGGATAATAAAAAATATAGGAGTCTCTTATACGAATGTTACAGTATTATTTACACGCAAATGTTTGTTTAATATTTTGTATGAATTTCAATTTCGTGTATCACAATATTTATGAAAAACATCGCAGTGCGCTACAAATGATAATCGCGTATCCTCGTGATGGGGCTAATGACCATTCCAAGAAGCCTCCTTATCGACATCACGAATTGTCTCGACCCGCATGAATTCCAATTATTAAAATTTCAATCACTCGCTAAGTACGCTGCAGAGAGTTCATTGCGCGTCCTCGTGTCCTTGTCCTCGAGCCCCCCACCCCTCCCCGGTAGCTACGCGGCAAACACGATCACGCGCATAGCAGCAAAGACGACGAACTTTGTCATATTGGCACCGAGTCTTGCCAATCGTTTCCACGAGATCGTTAATTCCCCATACGAGCCGAATTCGCTTGCCAAATCGGCAGCGATTCGATATCGCGTCCCCCTGAGCATTTTCCTTTTATCGAGTACGCGCGAACTTTAGGACGAGCTCAGCTCCACGATCGTTAAGCAACAACGTGTATGCGAATAATTCGTCGTCCTCGAGTAAATCGTTCAGTCTCTTGTGTATCTCGCGTTGTGCCGTGGATGGAGTTGGCGATAAACATGGACTATCAAGATATATAGTATCGTTTTGCAGTCCGACGTCATTGGCGAGATCCCAAGCCAACACTTTGGTACGTTCGACAGACGAAACATTTCGTCTCGTCTTCCCTTGTCTCTTTCATTACTGACACGCAGAATACAAAATCGTCAGCCGATCAAAATTTAGCAGATGGCACGTCCATAAATGCTTATCTCATCGTCTCTCATCCTTGGGATCTAAATTCATGGCCTTCGTTCAGTCGCAAATTAAAAAACGAAATATAAATACGCTGTATCATTTTTTACTCATCCCCGCCCCCCAAAGACGCTGTATCATTTTTTACTCGTCCCCGCCCCCCGCCCACCCACCCACCCGCCCGACACAACGTTCGTCCATTAGAGTGTAAATGTTCAGGAAGACACTTTCTTCTTTATCAATATTAATATTGCACCGAATTCGATCATTAATGTGGCGTGGTCGTTTCTACTTTGAGATTTTGTGAAATTAATTGCTCGGAGCGCTATTCTCTTTTGCACACTTTCGGTCCACATGCAATGCAGCTAGCTGCATTGAGAAATTTCCAAAATGCAAAGTGCAACGACCAAATGAAATATTAATTTGAAAATTGATTTGTAAATAAATATGCATCGATGGGATGTAATAAAATAGCATTCGTTCAATAAATTGATCGTTAAAAGGAAGCATTTTCTTGACTGAATTTCATTATTATATTAAGCACAATGAATAAGAAGGTAATTCGCAAAAATCCAGGCAACAGAATGAACGAGCTATAGTTGGTCGAAATGGTTGGTCCGGATAAGTCTTGGTAGTAGAGTATCACCGATTAGCCTAAACACCCACCCTCCTATCCGGTCAACATCAACAACAACAACACAACGTACGATTGGAAAGTGCAAGACGTCCGTCGGCGTGGGCCGTGAGCCGATGTCACGTCACACTTTACACTTTACCATCTCGGCTAGCATTCGAACATTTTCGAAAAAGCCAAAGACGTCCGTGTCCATGGCTACGGCGAGCGAGCTTTAGTTAACGAGTTAACGATAAATCCGAAGCCTTAGCAACGCCACTGCCCATGACGAGTCCAATATTCATCCTCCCCGCCTACCGCGCGACTTCGCTCCTCGCATAAACCACCTCGTAGTTCTAAAAACAGCGCGAGAACAAGAGGCGTCGCTCATCGCCGCCATCAAACATCCTCTCTCGGCATTATTATCGGGAGAAAAGGGCGCGTCTTTGTGTGTAGCAAGCATCGGGCGCGCATCAGCTGCTTTCGTTCCTTTTTCCGCCATTGGCGCGCGACGGAAATACGCGAACGGCGCGCGGCGGACGTCGCTCGACCTCTCGTCGTCGCGACAACGAGCAGCTGCTCCCGTCGTACCCTCGAGTGCCACGCGCCCCTTCTCCGCAGCTGTTATTACGGCTACGTCTCACTCGAGCCTCTTCCCGTAAATCGAGATGTGGCCCGGGACCTAGGGAGGCTGGCTCGCGTGCGCGCGCGCTCACTCGGGCTGACGATCGGCACGCGCCGCTTAGCTCGGCGGCGGATGTTTCTCGCGCTCGACAACGCGGGCGCATTTGTTCGTGCCTCGGGTCAATTCGGATTCCCGGCCCAGCTAACCAGGAAGCATGTCGGCTCTCGCGCCCCCGCTCACCATCATCCGCGCATTTCTTTAAAAATCGCGAGCTGTTCTTAATGCGGAGGAGGGAGGAGATACGACGCTGATAGCGGTGAGGTTAAGTTGGCGCGCCTGGCTCCCTTCATCGCACAACGATCCTCCATCCACTCGGACGTTCTCAAAATTAGCGCAAAATTATTGTTATTGTTATTGTTATTGTTACTATTACTATTACTATTACTATAACTATAACTACTACTATTAATATTACTATTATTATTATTATCATAATTGTTGTTGTTATTATTATTATTGTTATTATTGTTATTATTATTATTGTTATTATTGTTATTATTATTATTGTTATTATTGTTATTATTATTATTGTTATTATTGTTATTATTATTATTGTTATTATTGTTATTATTATTATTGTTATTATTGTTATTATTATTATTATTATTATTATTATTATTATTATTATTATTATTATTATTATTATTAGTAACTGTCCAATCGGCAACAGTCAATTGTATGGCGCGACCTCGATAATAAGAATAACGATGTCGAGGACGAAGGCAAAATGAGAAGTACTCTATTTCGTACATGGGCTTATTTCGAAGGAGACGGCTTCCACGGTTTTCCAAATAACTTCATTCGTATTGATAAATCTGCTGATTATTATCAGCGCACTACGACTACCGCTTGCAAATCCATTGCATTACAAATGACAATTATCAATCAATAAAATTGTCGATAGTTTTTTTATTGGCGCGATTGGCCCGAGGTTCCAAGACAAAGGACCAACGTAAGCCAAAAGGCTAGGAGGTAGGGACGAATTTTCGGCGAAAAAGGGCGGATTCGTGCGAGAGGGTTTCGCATCGCTGTTACGAGAGAGCACCCTCGATTAAGGATGGCGATGAGCCAGCAGCAACCGGGTCAGCAAGAGGGAGACGTCGAGGTCGGCTAAAGCGCCAGTATCGCATAATAGAGAACGACCGGGCGGTTTACGTGGAGGACGCGAGGAATCAGCTGCGTAACCAAAACCACATAATCGACAAGCTCGAGACGGAGAAGGCGGAACTCGTGCTTGCCATCAAAGCTGCCAAATCGTCGGGAAACGTACGTAAGGACGAGGTTCTTAGCGCCGAGCTCAAGACCATACTCGACAAGCGCTCTCACTTCATCGAGCAAATTAAAATAGAACGACAGCAGATCGCCGAGATACAAGAGCAGTTCATTAAGGTATGAAAGATGTTACTTTCGCTCGTGCGATCTCGCCGGCCCCTTTCTTCACAGCCGCCGTACATAATGGCTTATACTACCTATCCTACCGTCCCTTCCGCTCTCATATTATCGCGAAAATTCTTTAACCGTGGCACATGATAATCGCGAGCGAACGACGGACCAACTACAATCCCGAAAATAAAAAGTTAAAATAATAAAAAACAAAAAAAACAAAACAAAAATGATACTTAAACGTTTTAATTAAAAATATGAGATCTCGTTATCCTCTATATCCCTACACACTCGCTAGATGATATTGTCAACTATAAATTGCCATCGTTAGGCAATTTTTATGCTCTAGTGTACATTAGTCGGTAATGCGAGCGTTAAGGTCAAGCAAATGCATCCGCATTTAATATACAAAGGAAGTAATTAGAGTATCCAAGAATTTAAATAAACGATACGAGATTTTAATGCTGCTCGCAAAACTATAAGATTGTATTACTAGCACACTCCTTGACTATTTAAATTTCACGGCCGCGAAAGTTTTTCCGAGTATATTTTTAAAAAGATTTCCTCTCTTAGATAAATGTAATTTAAATGCGAATTTAAATAGGAAAATCGTGGTAAATCAACGTACAAGGATCAAATCTTAACTCAAAGTCCTATACTTTCACTGCAGCTGTATTACTACTAACCGACCATCGCGAATTTATTTTTTAATTTTTATTCCCAACAACTTTTTATCCACAAAGTTTCGTTGCAATTATTTTTTCAACTATACACAAAGTTCAAATACTTAATTCGTGTAAGATTGTTTATTTATTAAAAATAAATGCATTCAGAATCATTATTCTTACTTTCATTTATCATTAAATGAACTAAAATTTACAATATACAAATATTAGAATTTAGAAAAACCTTTGGTATTACCGATGAATGTACAAACCTCTCAATTTTCTAATAATTCTGCTTACAGAGAAAATAATCACGGAACATGCAGTCGCGAAGTATTCAAACGTAATGGGGGATGGTAATTGAATAAAAAGAGATATAAAGGCTTTTAAAAGTACTGTAAAAATGTAATGTAAATTACACGTGCAATGTTTTCAGAATTTAATAAATACAAGCTTTTCTCTCGTTCGCTGATAATAATAAAATTGTAGTTCTTTTATTGGAATGTCGATTGAAATTTCTCGCCGATAAATCCTATTTGTAATATAAGAACAATTCATTACCGAATAATGAACAAACACGGGAGATTTGTTGATTTCATGAATCGCCTAACGATTTCAATTATTTCGATCCAATCGCTTGTCCCTATTATACCGTGAATTAAATAAACTGAAAGACATAAAACTAGCGAACGAAAGGCAAATTAATTTTAAGAGTTAAAATATTTTGTGTTTTCAACATTTTTGAAATTATAAGCAAAAAAAGCCAAAATGAAAAACGACATGACAAATCTAATAGACTCGGTAACTTACAATTTCCAAATATTGTCAAAAAAAAAAAAAAAAAACAAAAAAAAAAATAATGAATAAGCGTTTGTGCACCGCGTATTTTCAAACTAATCGAACAAAGTAATCTAACAGGCAGTAGTACATACGAAGCAATAATTTTATAAAATAAAAACTAAAAATTTCAAAAAAGTTATTAAAATGCTTCGACGTTATTAGCTCGGAAAGGAGGTCAGTGGCTTGAAGTTGAAAGTGTTCACGGAACATCAACAAAAAGAGAAGAAAGAGAAGAACGAACGATTGATATCAGTATTGGAGAATCGATTGGAGGTGGCGACAACGCGCTTCAATATCCTCGTGAACGAGAACAGCAAGCTTCGCCAGGACATCGATGACCTCCTCGAGGAGCGTGGACAGTTCAACATCCTCTGGACGCGGCTCAGCAATCAGTTGAACAGCGGCAAGCGAGTCATCAACGACCTAATCGAGCAGGCCACAATCACCTTCAATCAGCGCGACGAGGAGATTAACAAAATCAACGGGCTCAAGGAGCGGTGGGTTTGCTCTTTCTACAATTTGCAAAGCGCATTAATCGCATGACTGCCTTACAACTATTTATTCTCCCTAATTCTCAATAGCTCGATCGATTGTGAAAAAAAAAAATGCATAAGCATACGCCTATTCACAGGCCAATCAGTATCAACGCAAACCTCACGCGTCGTTTTACATTTGTCCAGTTTATAATCGTTTAGAAAACAACAGTGAACAAAAGAGCTTACGATTCATTGCCGAATTACATTCGATCGCGACTGTCTTGTAACTGACATAAGGTATAATAATTTCTTTAATATAGACTCGTTGCCAGAAATACGTTGCCGATCTTTATTTACAATTCAAGACATTGATCATGCGACCTTGCACGTTTGGGCTTTATATATTAAAGTAAATTTATATGTCAATTTATAACATATAGTGGAGGTAAAGTATAGCAGACGTGGAAACTTCATTCCATTTTGTTTCGTCAATATTTCGAATAATAGAATTTCACTCCTCGTGCATTATTAGTATATATATATTTTTTTTTTTTTTTTTTTATTTTTTGTTAATCTAGTTAAATGTCGAATACGACAAGTTTTCAAACATAACTTATTTCTATCTTCGTCCATGTATTTTATATCCACGCATTGAAAAACATAAATTTTTTAGTTAATTTACATTAATATTGTAATTAATATGGAATAGTAGACATTGTTAGGGTCAATTACATTTAATGTCGTGTGTCATCATTAAATTTGCAGAGGACTGAGAGACTTACACCACCATACAATAGAAATGTGCGAAATGCAGCGAACTATTGATAATGAAATGAAATTACAAGAGTTTCTCGGTGTGAAGGGCCAATATCGAAAGATGAACGATCTCGACGATAAGAAAAAAGCAGAAAAGGAATTAAAACGCCAGGAAATGCGCAACAAAATAGGAGTTTACAATGAAATATTAGCACTCGTTAGACAATTTACTGGTACTGTATTAATATTATGTCTATCTGTCTGTTTATATTATTGCTATATATAATAATATAAAGAACAACTATTTTATAATTATATATAATTATATATGTGACGATATGTGTCGAAAATATCAATCGCTCACTTTTTTAATACCAACTTATTGCTATAAAATATAGCTATCGGAATTTTTATTACGTTTAATTGCTGATATTTAACACTATAAAATTAAATTTACCAATTGTTAAAATACTCTGTGAAACTATGAAAATAAGTAATAATAATATGATAGTCTAATTTGAATAAATGAAAATGTTTATTAATGTGAAAAAAAAAATTTACTTTATCATAAAAAGTTTTACCAATCACTTTGCGCTAGGCATTGATACTTTATTCTTAACATTTCACCCTTTTACTATAGTTCAATTGAATTGCAAAGTATGAAAAGAGATTATATTCACATTATAATCCACCTTCTACTACAATATTAAAACAAATGTGACAATGCGACGCATTGGACATTCAACCAAATAACTCATTAAGCACTTTTGAAAATACATAATTTGCAAATTGCTCGATCGTTGCAGGCGAAAAGGTGATAGACAAATTGACGCAACAATTCTTGAAGCAGGAAGAAGAAAATTTCGCCCTCTTCAGCTACGTCAATGAGTTGAATGACGAATTGGAGGGGCTTCAAACTCGCGTTGCGCAATTACGAACTTCGATAGACGAAGCGCGTAAATTAAATGTTCATCGAGGGGAAGAACAAGCTGAAACCTTAAAGACCATTGCTAGTGAGCTGGAAAAGCAAACCAATGAGGCGAATGCAACGGAGAAGAAATTACACGAGGTCTCTTTACTTTCTCGTATTTCCCATCATTCGTATACTACACGCCTCTATAATATACTTTGATAGTATATTATACAATTACGTACATACATATGAAAGGTTAATGGCTTACCATGCCGAATGAATTATACCTATTTCTTTTATATATATATATATATATATAGAAAACATAGTGTTTGACAAGACTTGAGATATTTTACATTTTAGAGGAAAATAATTGCAACATAATATTAAAGTTAAATTTTACCCATAAAGTACTTATTATTTCTATTCCATGTATTATTAAAAAATATTATTTATTTCTACTAAAAAATTATTATGTATAATGATAAAATAAACGTTTAATAAGTAAGATTATCGATTACGTTTTTTTTTTTTTTTTTGTCTATATATTTATTACGCAATTAAATATATATTGCCAATACATATATTATATTTCAATTCTAGTCAAAGGATGGCTATAAATTATTTTTCCAAATTATGCAAATTAATGCACATAATTATGTAATTAATGTAATCATCGATACAAATTACTTAACAATATAGATTATTGTGTATTATGTCAGAATTCCATTTCTAAATCTCACCAACATAATCATAACCGCAAAGTAGAACATGTTATATGATAATATGCCTTGTTAATCATTTTTTCATCAATTTTATTTTTGCGACATTTTATATTTTTATTTATTTCCATACATAGATTTATTATTAAATTTAATAGTTTATTTAATGAAAATTTATTTTAAATAAATTTGAATTAATAGGGCAAAATTCAAGTTTACTGTAATGAAATAATAATCACAAAATAATGTTTGAAAAATTACTAATAAACACGTAAAAAATCATTGTCAATATTCGTAAAGCCCTAAGTACAAATGACAATTCTTGTTGATCATTGCGATAAAGAAACACATTTAGTTAAAAACTCCATTCATTTTACAGAAAATAATCTGTTTTATTTGTAGGCAAACGCGGTAATGGATAGTCTGCTGCGCGGCATCGATATGCTCTTCCACACGACGCACTGCGACAAATCTCCGATTCTCGAGCTCCTTGGTAACAACAGCACCGTCAACGTTGAGAACGTGATGCTGTACCTTGGCATCATCGAAAAACGTATCAACGAAATGCTAAACAAGGTGTTCTGGATTGATCGAATGCGCCGACAGGAACTGCGCATCGACGAGAGTAAGAAGCCGAAGCTTCAGATTCCCGAGATCTCCAATATCGCGCCCACCCAACCTTGTGCTTTGTAAGTACCTCTTACCTCGCTTACAGCTCATCTCGCCCCATCCACTCCATGACCCCCACAACCGACTTCCTGTCGGTTGTTTCGTCGCCAGCTCTCTTCCTTTCTTCCAATCTAATTTACATGTGTATATATATTTTTGTCTCATTTGCTCGTCGTTTCGACCGACAAGTATAGTTTTACGTATGTAAACGCCGTACTCATTGCTTATTATTTACCATTTGCGATTCTTCTGCCATAATACTTAATTATCAATGCTAAACTTGAAAATATATACACCTAATATGAATGCGTTTAGAAATTTTAATAATATTTTTTAAGATCCGAGAAGTTTTATTAAGGCTATCGTACTCTGTGATGAATATATATATATATATATATACACGTATATTATAATATAAAATAATAACAGCTTTGTAATGCTGTTTGTAAAAGAATTTATAGATTTAAGTAATAGAGTGGTCAAAGCTCGCCGATGAATTAACGCGAATCCCTATTTATAGATTTTATTAATGCATCAACGAGTTTTATATTATTTTAGAATTTCATACAATGTAGTGAAAGGAAAATTATTTGAAGGTTTCTAATAATTTTCCATATATTTAATATAAATTAAAGGTAATGTGTAATTAAAATTACTCGTCATGCCTATTTAGATATAATGGAGGTATTATGCGTAAATATTATTATTCACTTATTAGGTGCACTTAATCCAATTCCTAATATAGTTCATAAATTGAATACATTCTAATATTTATCAATAGCCATTAGACTAACGATATAATAGCTACGAATATATAGAAAGAAAGTTTAATATATCAAAGGTATTGTTAAATATTATATACTCAATGTTTGTAATTATTATAAAGATGTATTGAGAAAGAAGAGCTGGAAAACGTATCCGAAGGCTTGGAGATACCCCTCACTCTCAACGAAGTGAAAAACAAATTAGAATTGAGGCTACAACATGACCATTCGAATCTTTTACACAATGTATCCGGTTGCCACTTGCCCGCTTCACGAAAAATCATTCAAAAACGTTATCAATAACTGTACAAATAAAATAGCCTACCTCGTTGTTCTATAACACTCTCAATAATTATTATATTTAATTGAAATTTTTAATAAATGTTTTCAATATAAGTAAAAATTATCGTATAAAATTTTAAACTATCTGTAATAAAAATATAAAAATGTGATGATATAAAGAAAGTGATAGCAAAGTTGTTTATCAATATTATAATCATTGAGAACATCTGAATTATATATTTATTTTTATATTTATTTATTTATTATTAAGTTTATATTATATTTAAATAATTTTCAAATTTATTGTTGTAATATGTATTGTAAAATAATAAATAAACAATAAAACAAGCATTAAAACAGAGTATAATAGTTTATTTAAATATATGTATTATTTTTTATGCCAATTGCTATTTTATGTTTTGATGGTAATCACAAGTAAAAAGGAAACGAAATATTTTTGTGTAATTTAAAGTTAATTTTTATTGTGCAAAAGCATATTACAATGATTTGTGATATTATAATGAGCACCTAACTTACACTCATACATGGAGAAAATAGAACTTACTATATTAATAATTCATTGATGGATTTTGTAGAAATATAGACAGCTAGCTACGAGTATTAACATTGCCAAACTTTGATGTATAAAAATCATAAAGAAATAAACGATTTTTTTTTTCAACCATTGTAATTACTGATTTGCATATTAACGATTACCAAGATATTATACAATTTAGTTATAAATATCACTTGTATTGATTTATATTTAAAAGATAACTAACTCATTCACCATGCAATTACGTAAAAGTGTATAATTTATGCTAATGGCTACACGTATTATACAAAATATGATATAAATAAACAAATTTAGTCCCAGAATTTTGTGTAAAATTTTTAATACCAGTTACATAGTCACGTGCATCGGTATTTGCATTAAAAACAAAAATCCATCTAAAGTGCGATAGAGCGTAATCAAGGTTCGAATGGAGTAAAGGAAAAGTATGAGGCTTGATGGAGGAGGCATTGGACGCGGAGCCAACATCGTCGGGGCAGGTCACTTATTCTTGATGCTGCACGCAGATGCTGTTCTTGGCGATGCCCTTGGTCCCCTCGCACTCGACCATTCACGAGTTCTCCGCCATACACCTCCATTTCACCACGACCTTCTTGTCGCGATCGACCCTACGCTTCGTCTCGTACAAAATCTTCCTCAGCTCGATTATCGTGCGCTTAATGATGAGCATTTGCTGCTCGAGGTCATTCTGCGTTGCATCCGCGGGTATACCCTTACGTTTGCAGACTTGTCGGTAGAGATTCCAAATACAAGCGCGTATCTGTGTAGACACAATAATCGACATTAGTTGCTTTTTAAATTTAAATATTTTTTCGACGCTCCGTGCTTAAATATTTGATAGGCCTTTTGTGCGCGTATGTGTGTGCGTTAAGCCTGATCGATGTATGCGTAATGTCGAGTGACTTCCTGACAAACGATACGATAACAAGTCATCCAAGCTAAAATTTATTTGTTATTTTTTTATTGACAAATATTGCGCTACTATATTTATATATATATATATATATATATATATATATATATATATATATATATATATATAGTACAAAATATATTATAAATGACAAGTAAGATACTACGAATTTTTATTGTAGAATATTGTTGTCGATAGTAGAAAACTACTAGCAAATGGATTAAAAATAATATATATGCTACATAATTATTATTACCCTTTACGTTAATAGCGAATTATCTTTTTAATCCGATATTGGTAATAAATTTTGTGCTGATAATTATCTTTATTACTAACATAATAAATTTTTTTTAATGAATTGCATCATTGATAACGAATAAAATGAATTACGTTCACTTTTCAATTATAAAAATATGCATATCGTAGGCATTGATTATATAGCAATTGACAGAATCGGTAACCTATGTATATACGATCATTTCCGTGGAAAAATGAAACAAAATATATAGCTACATTTCCGAAGTAACGGACACTAAACTTCCTGGTAGTTAATATTATTACAATTATATTTTCTCAGAATCGTTATTAGATCAAATGAACAAGAAACTCCAATATTTCGATATTAATCAGCTTACTTAATAAAATAGTATATTGTTTTGAAATTATGAAATATTAGCTACGAAAATATTATAAATCGAATAAAAGTATATTATATACAAGAAATCATCAAAGCTTAATATTTCACGGTTAATTATATTTTGTCATACTTTTTTTTTTTTTTTTTTTTTTTTTTTTAATTATAGAGGAATTATTTTAAAACTGCTTTAAAGCTCCTAAATAAACGTATTACTATTATCTTAAAACCCTTTAAGTAACATATTTAAGGCATTATTTTACAATTACACTCACGAAAGTGTAACAAAAACAGTAATTCAGGTTTAGCTTTAATTGATAAAAATTTATATCAGATTTCTTTTACATTTAATTGAATTTTACTAATAGAAAATAGCTGATTATATATTTATCTCGAATATATTATTGATAATTGTAGCATTAATGATGTTATTTAGTCAATTTTCATATTTATCGTTTCAATTATCCACAATAAGATTACAATAATTATTGTTGCAAATATTATTTATTTATGATGTATTAGCATAACAACATACATATTACTAATTTTAAAGAATTAAATGTAAAACAAAAATAATTAGAAAAACTAGTGTTAAATATACTTTTAAAATTGTAACGTAAATTAATCTAATAAGAATGTCGATTAAACAATTGTTAAATATATCATATGAATATGTAATATTTATAAAGTTTACGATACTTGTTTAACTATTATACTACAATTATTAAAATTAATCGAAAATATAATTATATTAATAATTAATTAATAAATATAATTATATATATATATATATATATATATATATATATATATATATAAATAAATATAATATATCGAAAAATAATAAACGATACGTCTATAATAATGACGCACGTTTCGTCTAAAATTATTTTTGAATTTTTTAAATAAATTAGAAAATACTTTCGAAATCCCGAATAGATTATGATCAGCAAAATTTACAGATAAAAAAATAATGATATCTAACAAAAAATATAATGATAAAAATATAGAATTGAAGCAATTATTCGTTGGTGTTGGCTCTCTTCGAGCATTGATATTAAACAATTACTGTATTTGTAAATGAGTCAGTCCGATATAATCTGTACGGATTATTAATTCAATTAATTCAACGTTGTAAATACCGTATAAAATGAATTTAGGTAATTAGCTTTCTTATGTATCAAAATAAATAATTGTAACTCAATGAAGAATATGATATTTTATTTAATCAATGTTAATAATTTTTGACAATCGATAATAATCGATAGAATCTTTAGGATTATCTTAAATATTTTTCATTGTAAAGTGAATAAAAAATTAAAATAGATTTTAATAATATTTAAAAATCCACAATAAATTATAAATTGCATACTAAGTTAATTAGTTATACATAAAATCTTAAAAATACGCAAAGTTACACACACCAAGAAATAGTATTCTTGGATAAATAAATTTGTTTTTATAAATATTACATTATTTAAAAGAGCAGACTGCATTTTTGTGAATTTTTAGAAAGTAAACGCAGCGATTAAAATTATTGGAATAAAATCGCGATTAGATATAGTTAAAAAAACAGATAGTGAAGCGTAATAAATTGAATTAACATGGGAAAATGTTCGACATCCCTAGTAAGATTGATTATGAAATACCAATTTCAATAGTTTGGACGTGCTTGATAATGAGAGAAATCAAGGCTCAACGAGAAATAAATAAAGTGCAAAGACGACTGAATAGTACGAAACATATTAAGCTAAGAAGTCAGAAAAAGATTGTTTGTCAAGCGTTAAAAACATCGGTATAACCTGATATTACCTACACGTATTAACTGATAATTAATACATAAAAAAAACATAAATTGGCAAAAACAAGCAAGAATTGAAAAATATAAATGTACCTGCGCCTCTTCGAGTTCTTTGCGCTTTATTAACTGCTTGATGCGTGTCAGCAGCATCTCCCAGTGTAACGCATTTGCCCGGGCACGTCTATGTCTAATTTGAAGAATAGCCAACTGGCTATTGAGGTTCATCATACTTTGTGACTTCTCCTGCATTAATTGTTGCTAGGACGTTCAAATAAAAGCAGACATTCAATCGTTAAAAGGGGCTTTGCTGCAACGCTCATGCAAAAAGCAAACTTTCCTCTAATTTCATTGATTATTTATTAATATTAATTTAATATTTTTTGAAATTATATCCAAATGATTATGAACAAAGCAGTTTTGTTCTCGAGTGCACTTAATAATTAGTAAGAGCATTTTAAACAACGAATTTCCCGTCATGTAGCCAGTAGAGTTGAAACAAGTCGGAAGGGCAATCTACAGACGCTACACCCTATCAGTTATAACGTATGGTCAAATTAAAGCCTTTTTTTTTTTTTTTTTTTTTTTTTAATGAATGTTTTTGTTTAATTCGAGCGCGAGGTCTAAACATTTAATGAATTGTCTTCTATTACATTTTCAAATGTAGAAAAATTCTTAAAAAATTAATATATTATTATTGAAATATTAAATACCAATTGAATGTGGCTGCTTCCCAACGCATGTAATTTTCTGCTTTGATTTTTTTCAATTGTTTCTCTAATATCAATAAGTGTTTCATAACGGTTAAATATTTCAGCGATTGAAGTAAATTCGCTTGTCTTTAGCACAGTCTCCATATATTGTTGGAAAGATTTATATTTTTCCACGTAATTCTGCATTTTGTAACGTATGGTTTCTAAGCTCTCTAAAGTATTCTCCAGCTCTACAATCTGTATAAATAAAATAAGTAAAATATGTATGTATGTATGTAATTCGACTACTTTTAAATAAATACAAAAAAAAAACATATTATAAATAAAAATACATACTTGTGCGTTAATAATATATAATTATATTGAAATGTTAATCTCAAAAGAACATGAAACTAATAGTTGTATATTGAATGACCTTATATATTTTAGCATTCATCATTGAAAAGTTACATTCAAATTAAATCTACATTTTAAAAAGTGGTATATGCCCCTGAAGAATAATCGAAATATTAATTAACCATTTCTTTCGAAAAACTGACAAGTCTATATGATATGTATTATAATTTCGAATTATCGATCTAATTTTTATACGTAATTATAGAGTTCGAAAGCCATTAGTATCGCTATATGAATTAAAACAATTGCGATACCCAAACAAACAATAATTTAAAATTTAGAAATTATTTATCATCTCAAACAAAAACAAAAACAAAAATAAACAAAAAAACAAAAAAAAAAACAAAAAAAAAACAAAAAGTGTGAACATCCTAATATCGTGTAATCTTGTATTACACGCGGAAATCAGATGATTAACGTTAAAAATGAAGTTTTTATTATTCATTGAACTATGTAGAAAATATTGATGTATCAATTCTCCTATCGATCGATTAACAAGGCATGCCTAATTACAGATATCCAATAATCGAATCAATTGTTCGAATATTGAAAATTTTACTTAGCTTCGAGTATTATATTAGCTTGGGCGAACCTCGGTATTCCTAATTTTTTGCAGCTCCTTTTGGTCCTTAATCATGCGTTCAGCCCTTTCGCGCTTTTCGTAATTCTCCTTGATAAATTCATCGTATCTGATAAAAGATCCCCGCAATAGTATCTCATTTTCACGTAGATTCTGCCAGTCTTGATTGATTTCCTCCTTTTGAGACTTGTAATCTTGCTGCTTGGCTATTAATTCCGCGTCCGTCTTACGAAAATCTCGACATACCCGCATCAGCTCGATTATCGGTTCACCTTTAATCACATCACTTTCGAAATTGTGCCTTTAAACGCAAACGATATATGTTATGAAAACAATCGTATCTTGAATTACATACCAGTTACATACCATTTGTCTCAGCAATTAATAGTTAAATAAATTAAAGGAGTGAAAAAACGCACAAGGCTAGAAAACTTTAATAAACTGGATATATTCATCGTATAATATAACTTGTTAACTTTATTAGGATGATTTATCAACTTATAAATTTATGCAATACAGTTTGTAAGAAATTGAAAAATTTAAGATTCTGATTCATATATTAATATTAAAAATTATATGATAATACTACTTGATAATATATATAGAAATGATTTTTTACAATATAAAACTATAATAATAATATCAATTGACTAATAGATATGTGATAAAAAAAAATATATATATATATACATATATTTACGAAGGATTGATTGATTGATTGATTTGATTGATTTGATTAATTCGATAGTTGAAAATAAACTATTAAATTTCAATTAAAATTAAATAACTTGAAGAAAAAATAAATAAACCTCATGTTCTTTTCGTGGAAAAAATATGAATGCTCATTCCTTATTATTATTATTATTATTATTATTATTATTATTATTATTATTATTATTATTATTATTATTATTATTATACGAAGATTACGCATAATTGGTTGAAATTTGAGTAATCGATGATATAAAAAGAAAGGAATAAATGTGAGGAGAATTAATAGTGTCATTTCTATTTTATTCCCATCAGTACTTTCTACTTTACCACAAAAGTTTAATTACCTTTGTGCGGCGTGAGCATTGATCGATGATTCAGAGAATATAAAGAATTTCAGGGCATCCGAAGAAACTAAGTTTATAAATGAAAATAATTTTAACAGAAGAATCGTTTCATCGCTAATAACGTTTAAACGAAAACTTAGAATTGGAAAACATTCATTTTAATTCAAATTTGAGAATTAATCCACAATTATTTCAATTGAACGAGTAAATTTATATAATGTACAATTATCGAATAGTTTATATTTTTACAAATGAACAATTTTATAAATCATATATTTAAATTCGAAAATGGTCAATAAACGGTGCTTAACACATATATTGGATTAATGTTAAACATCCATATTAAATCAATAAAAATTAAACAATAATTGAATTTTCAATATCATACATTGGACACGATCATTTATTGTAAAGTTATTTAACAAAAATGTTGTACCTCAATTAATTATCGATGCTAACGATATAAGCAAATTAAATAGTCTCAATTAATATCATGTTTTATCATTATTAAGGCAAAACTACGCGCAATGCATTCTATTTACATGCTTATATATTAATTTCTACATGCATTCAATCAATCTATATATATACATATACATATATGCAAATGTATGGGTATATACATGGTGTATAAGATAAAAAAAAACGGTTGAAAATTGCCTTGACACTGTGAGTTCTAAGCGTGGCCCATTGAGATGTAAAAATCGTGTTGTAAAGGTTAATTTGGATGGATTGCGTGGTTTTTACATCGGAATATAAGTATGGAACATTGAGATGAATGCGAATGGAAGGTGCAATTGACGGCCAAAGGAGATTGAGAGCAGATTGACAGATAATTCGGAATAATGGAAAGTCTCGCGATTTATAAAGCGTTTACTCGATATTATTTACAGTAAGGAAGTGAAAATACATTTATAACTAATCTTCCTTATATGCTCATTAAGTATGGATGGTTGGTTATCAAATAAACTTATGTACTATAATTTCAATAAAAAATATCCTCTTTTTATATGATGTATTTATAAAAATCTTTGTCGATTTGATGTAAAGAGCTTTAAATTTTCCAATCAACGTTTGTATTGAAGTGAAATGAATAAAAGTATTTTTAATGAATTTGTAAAAACATTGATTCTTTAGAATTTTAACATCATTAACGTACGTATATATAGTAAATATAGTATATCATATATTAAATCATTTTTATAGTATCAGAATGGAGGACCATTTAAAAAAGTTAATAAAACCAAAATATATTAAAAATAGAAAATCGATGATCAAATATGTATGACCAAAAATAACACAATATTATATGATATAATAAAAAAATTACTTACTAATGACAGAAATATTGATAAAATATTAATCGATATAAATAATCTATATATGAGACAATAAGTCTTAACACCTGTTAAATTATTAAAACTATTTATTAAATTTCTTAATTATATGTTTATATCTAATTTCATTAAACATTTCTATCATATCTCATATTCCTAAATAAGCATTTAAAACTTAAATTTTTTTGTTGAATACACTTGGAAAAATACAAGCAACGATATTGTGGATACAATGAACAGAGACCAATTATAACATTTTTATAAAACAAATTTTAATTAGTAATAGTTCAGTGGTTTTATTATAAGCTTATTTTTCAAATGGCCATTAAAAAATATTACCGATGCAAATAAGAAATTGTAAAACCCATGTGGAAGTATAAAATTTATAAATTTATCATGTTAGTCACAGGTAGGCTGGACTTTAAAATTCCTTATTGCTACACAGACTTTATAAAATACAATTTTAAAGTACATTTAAAGACTTTAATGTCATCCTACACAAATATTTATATTAAAAATAGCTCTTTATTTTAAACATTTGAAATTTTAAAATATCAAATTGTAAGACGTATGTGCAATTTATTATACGAAAATTTTTCAAAATTTGAATTAATTTAGTATTAATATTAAAAGTCAATAAATGATGTTTCAATAAATTTCAATTCCGTTATTTACAATTTAAAGTTTATTAAAAATAATGTTATAATTAAATCTTAGCACAATCAACATCAAATTATTATATTGACAGATTGAATAAAAGCTTAGCAAAATATTAATCTGTAATTTGATGTTAATAATCTGGTTTTTTTTAACGATTAATTATTCGTTTGAAGCGTAATTTTTAAATTTTCTTAAAATTTAACTTTACGCGAATGTTATACAATTTTTTACAGGGTTTAATGAATAGCCCAAGTAATATAATATTTTGAGATAAGGCGAATAAAAATATTATAATTAAGACAAAATTTCGGTAAACATGAATTTTTATTTTATAAGTTGTTATAGTTTGTTAAAAAAAAATCTTTATCGTTTTAATTCGTTTGTTAAAGAATATTTCACAATAAAAAAAATTTTAGTTAACGTTCAGAAACAGAGATCATAATCTAAATCTATATATATCAGATATAATATATCTGATAACAAAACTATTATTTAACGGATGATTGATTTTGTATTTGTGCTTATTACGTAAGATTATTATATTATTACGAATCACAATTCAAAATTACAAAAAGCAATCAATGATACCTTGTTTTTCTTCCACTCCATTAATAAAATCCACTTAATTAATTCCAGAAACTGGATTATTTCTTTTGGGCGATACGAAGTCTTTTATGAAAAATTAGTTTAGTGAATAAAGATTAAATTATGATGAAAACACAAAAATCAAGCAATCTTGTTGAATATTAATCTTAAAGGCTGTAAATTATTATTTTTATTAAATTTAATTATTGAAACGTAAAAGCATATAATATACTTTTCTTTTTTTTTTTTTCCATTACACGTAGTAGTTTCCAACGTTGAAATAAAATGATTATACGTTATGAATGGAAAAATATATAAACGTCAATTATAATGGATCGAAAGAGCTTTTGAATTATGTTTGAGAATTATGTAATTTTACATGATATTCAAGATTTTTCACATTCAATATACAGTGCAATAGAATTTATCAAGAATATTCTTGCCAAATGAAATAAGAGGATAATTTTGTTTTTAATAAGATACTTTTCATGGAAATGATATTTAAAGAAATTTTAAATTAC